GAATAATTGATTTGTGGGGTCTTGTGACCCAGTTGCTAATACCAGGCCATAATTCGCTACACTTACATAACTATTCATTTGTCTAATACAGTGTTGGCAGTTAAACCTGTGGGTAGATTTGACTGGAGAGATTGTCAGGTTTAAGCAGAAGCACAGACTTGGGTTTTTTGTTTTGTCATAGCTTCCTTCAGAAAAACAACAGAGAGTATTTGCATGTTTCGTATTTGGGAGTGCTAATGTCTTGCTGTTTTAGGTTTACTGACTGGCTACAGTGCTGCTTTGTGGATTGGCCTCAACGACCTGGACATCAATGGAGGCTGGCAGTGGGCCGACTCCTCACCACTTAAATATCTCAACTGGGAGCAAGGTTAGTCTCTTAAACCAACTCACCCATTTCTGTCTTTTTAAAGTCTGAAGTATCTGTGATCCTTTTTAAAATGTTTATCTCCCACAGAAGGATGAATGGGCATGTTTTCTCATTTTAGCAACACTGAGTTCAAGCACAGGCTTAGCCACTTTCCAACACAGCCACAGTGTTTTACTGTTGACCACTGGTGTATTTGGGTTTTAAGTGCTTTGAGTAAGAGCGCCTTGGCGTTAGTGATGTTCTTTGGAGTCTTATATTGCTTACTGTCATCCTCAGATCAGCCAAACCATGCTGAGGAGGAGAACTGTGTTGTGATCAGAACCGAGTCATCCGGCCGCTGGCAAAATCGCGATTGTTCTGTTGCCTTGCCATATGTTTGTAAGAAGAGGCCAAATGCCACCCTGGACCCCTTCACTACTGGTGAGTGTATAGGCATTTGCAATAGTCCATTAAAGAGAAACACAGTTTATGATGGCTTTCATCTTTTGCTCCCACAGATTCCTGGGCAGACGATGAGAAATATGAGTGTGATGTGGGCTGGCAGGCCTTCCAGGCTGGCTGCTACAAGCTAACTTCAGAGAAGACTGACTGGGATACAGCACAGAAGACCTGCCAGAAGATGGAGGCCAACCTGGTCAGCATCCATACCCTGCCTGAGCTTGAGTTCATCATGCGCAACCTCAAGAGAGGTGATTTGTTCATTTCTTAAGGCGCTGTACTTTTTCCCACTGCATCAGGAGCAATTAAATTCGTAGAAATTACATCAATCCTTAACTCTGTCTTAGTTACTGTTTCTGAAATGTTTCTACCTTCAGCTGAACTAACCTGAATGTTTTCAGAGTTGTGTGCCTGTGCCGCAGGGTTCACACAAACAGAAAGAATGAAGTGTACATTTGGAAAGGTGTATTCTAGATGAGAAAGTAAGACATTTAAATCGTTTTCTGTGGAAACATAGAAGGAAAAGCATCACACTCTAGCTGAAGTCACACAGTTCACAGAGAGTTCATCCGCTCAAGTCTGTCACTCTTTCAATTCTGTTTTTCAGTTTCTACTTTAAGCATAGTGGAACAAATGCACCTATGTTTCAGCTGTGATTGTTTTTTCACTGTGCAATCTGAAAAATAGATTTTCTAATAGATTTGGATATATTTTCTGGGAAAAATAAAAAGGAATCCATAAATAAATGAAATAAAATATGATCTGTATTAAGTGATGGTTTCCAGCTGTTTTCCTACATTGCAGTCCTCTATATGCTCACATCTCCAGATCAACTATAGTGGAAACCAGATGGATCACCTATTCTTTTTGATTTCTTTCCTGAGCTGTAAAACAGCTCATGATGTGTGGAATCAAATTTTTAGGCCATGGAAGTGTTTCAACTTTAATTAATCAACCTCATGGAAAAAGCTTGACATTATCTTAAAGTTGTAATAGGAATCCTAATCCCATTTTAACCCTGTTTCTTTCTTCTGTGATTGTCGTCCTCACATGACTGTCTCTCTGTGTCTTCCTTCAGACATTGACCAAGTCTGGACAGGGCTTCATGACACTGACATGCAAATGGACTTCCAGTGGACCGACCACACACCCGTCATCTTCACCTACTGGCACCCCTTTGAACCCAATAACTTCCGCAACACCCAAGAGGATTGTGTCTCCATTTGGGGAGCTGTGAGTGACCTGCACATTCACGCTCTCACTGTCAGCGAGTTTCCTTCATTTGTATATATTTACCAGCTGTGTTCTCTCTTTCTGTTTGTGTCTTGCTTACATGTGCAGGAGGGCCGCTGGGATGACAGCCCCTGTAATCTGACTCTGCCCTCCATCTGTAAGAAACCAGGAACAAAGAGTGATGGGAAGCCACAGCACAAAGACTGCAAACAAGTATTACTCTTTTTCTTTTTGTATGCAGTGGCACACGCTTTGTTTATTCCTTGACGTTTAATATTTATGCTTTAGATCCCAAGAAAAGTTTCACTGCTACACTATACATAAGGTTTTTGTGTTTTTTCCCCCATTTGTACCTCTCTTTTGTACTCCATAAAGCCTCTATTCAGGTCTCCTGCAGTGCCTCACTTCTTTGACTCCAGCTGCTGGCAGTTTGTAGTCTTACTGCGAGCCTTATTATTATTCTAAATACAAGGATTCAGCCATTCCTTTACTTTTGACTTCTTTTCCCTGAGCTGTCCTCCATATATCACCCTTCCACTGGGCCATTAGTCTGGCCCATTTCTGTAACTGTAAATCACTCTGTTAATACCAAACACACTCAACAGTGGACACACACACTTTTGGCTTAACATCTAGATTTCAAAAGCCAAAACAATCGAAACACATAAAAATTTGAATGCATTTAAAATGGGGTCTTTTTGTCTTCATTTGACATGTGTACAGAGTACATGCAACCTGTGCGCTATACCCACTACATGGTCAATTAGATCAAATCTGAAATATCCATCTACATCTGGAACTAATGTTACACTCCACGATTTTCTCCATATGAGGCTTTAAGTCTCTCCTACCTGCTTTGTCCCTACCTGACCATGGCTTAAAGTGTTCACTGTCCAAGTGAGTGACAGTAACATGTGATATGGGGAATTATCATTGTGAGAAAATAATTAACAGTGTGTGCCTGTGGATCTCTGTGCCCTTCAGCACTGTTATGTTTTTGCTTGTTGTTGATTTATGATACTAATGATCTGTGGCGGTTCTCAGCTGTTATATTCAACAAAGATCTCTGTATGGACAGGCCGTTTGTTTGGCGTAATGACCCTTTACCCTTCCCCCTGGGGAGCGAGGCATCATGGGTGGTAAAGTGACATGGGTCATTTGCCATGGCACACGCTGCAGGGCCCTGTGGCCGTGCAGTTTCTCTCAGTTCACAGAACATGTGAAACAACAATGACACACATCCCAGTGACCGCTTCAGCAACATGATCCACAAAACCTTTTACCCCATCCAGAAAAAAAATGTAGTGGATTTCTAATTACTATGATTATGTCATTTTACTTATAGTACATAACTCCTTAGACCATTTCTTTCTGCTTTACTTCCAAAGTGATTTAATTATCAGGACAACTTAGTTGCTTCATGTGTGGATAAACAGAGATTAGATGCCTCTGATCTCTAATGTCAGATGCAGCCTGAGGTGTAAGCAGCTGCTTAGGGCCCCTCAGCCACCAGGGGGCCCCTACAATAACTTAAAATGTGAACACTGTGGGTCTCTGTGCTAATTTTTGTAATTAGTTAATTGTTTAAAGATACAATTCTTGATTTTGGTCACCTTATTTTCAAATTATTTTGACAATAAAAACAATTCGAGAGAATGTGGATGAAGCAATTATATGGTTCAGCTTCAGTAAGATTTATGGGGATGAAAATAGAAGTAACATTTCTTGACACTTAATGAGGAAAAAGCACTGCTATTACATGTTACAGGAATATGCTGTCAGTCAACATTAGATGTTTGATGTTGTGACTGTCAGACAAA